ATGTTACAACTGACAAACTGCCTAAAAACAAACCTTTTGGGTTTCTACATAATTTGTATTTGGAAGAATAAAGACTATATTGCTTTATGAATGAGTTTGTAATTTTTGTTGGTAAGTGCTGTCGAGTGAGTTCCAACTCATAGCAACCATATATAAGGTGTCCAAGGAGCAGCTGTGGGTTTGAACTGTCTTCCTTAACGTTAGCAGTGCATTGCTTATCCTATAGTACCACACTGACAGGTTAAAAACCACTAATTGTGAAGCGTCCTGTCTCTTCTTGTCTGTTGACCACGACTCTTTTGCTTTTACAGAGGTCCAGCTGGAGTAAGAGCCCAAGCTCTGAATAAAGATGGAAATCTAGTAGAAGATTTTGTCTTTGATGGAGGGGTTGGAGATATTGGAAGTCGCATTCTTCATGTCAGAAATGCACCTTCCCCAGCAGCCACTTCTTCCCTTGCCATTTCTGGAATGATTGTAGATGAAGTACAACAAAGATTTGCACTGTAACTAATGAGGGGAGCTAGGTATGCATTTTAACCTCCGCATTCAGCAATAAGAATCTGGCAATTGTATTCTTAGATTTTAAGAAAACGATTTGAAAATCTTGTTTTTAGGTTACAATTAACCTAACCACTGAATTTGTTTAAAGTATATAGCCTAGAACTAATACATCTTTAAAAGTTAAAGCCCATGTTCTGTGATTTCTTATATATGGCAGGGAACAGCTACTTCTGTTCCTGAATCCCTAACTTTGTTAATGACTTATCCTCAACATCTGTGAGCTAGAGAAGAGTTTATCCTTTTGGAAATGCAGGTAAAGATGGATTTTAAAAAATTGGTGATTCCCTTAACTTTTTGGCTTTGTAATCTCTAAGGGTTTTTTTTAAGGGGGGGGGTCTATTCCAGAAATGAAAATATAATATATTGTAGGCTGAAAACCTCTTTTTAATTTTGAGGACTAACAGAGTGGTTCACATTATTTAGAGCAACAATATGTTTGTGGATTCAAAATTCTTGATTTGAAGAAAATAAATGAATTTTACATTTTAAGTAGTATTGTTGTTGTTGTGAAGTGCTGTTGAGTCGGTTCTGATACATAGCAAGCGACCCTGTATAGGGTTTTCAAGGAGCAGCTGGTGAGCTTGAACTGCCGACCTTGTAGTTTAAACGGCTTTGCAGTCTGGCACATTAATGAGATTTTATCTTACCTGAGAAAGAACTTATCAGAACTTTATAATTGACTTGGTGTGGTGTCATTACTAAATCTCAACAGTTGTGCATTGTGAGTAATTGTTGCCTACTCTTTAATCTGTTGTAAAGAAGAAAAGAATTTATAACTGAATTTTTTTTTAGGAGAGCAATTTTAGAATCTTGACACCCATATATAGAATTCTATAATTAAAAAATTGTTTACCTATTATAGCTCTGTTCCTCATCTCCTATCAAGTTTCTCAAAACATTGGCTAAGTTTGCTGATGATTCATGCCTACTTGGTTTTTCAGGGATCTTATAAACTTTATGAGGATACTTGTGCATTTTTGGTAAATAACTAAATTTGAGGCATTCACTTTTATAACCGCAAAAGTACCTTACACTCATGTCTACTTTGAGAGTATTTTAAACTATTGCCCAGCACATACTGTATATTGTGTTTGGTATCTGTTGATATAATTTTTATAATTCAGAAACTTGAAAAACATAAATGAAAATGTTGTGCCTACTGACTGGGGAAACTTTTATTACAGAACCATCATTTAGGTGAGACATTTTCATCCTTTACCTCATGTGTACTTTTTCAGGATTAATCTTCCAACCTCCATATTTTCTTTCCTCCTCTCTCCCCAAAGCTATGTGAGAGATGAGTGTGATGTGAATTTTATCTGATGGGAGGAACTTTCTTGTTTTCTTCACTTCAAACCTCATCAGTTTCCTTGATTGAGCTACCTCGTCCATTAATGTGAAAGGCTACATACATATTATCAGCTCATGTTCAAGAAGTAGCGCATTCTAGATGAAAAGATGAAGCACTTGTTTGACACTTGGGATGAGCATATTGAAAGCATTCAGAAACTACTCATAGAAGAAACAAGCCACATGGTTCTTTATCTAAGATTTATCTAAGAAATGCAACACTCAGGTATTTTTCTCCCTATTACAAGATTATTAAGATACAGAAAATATTACAGCTGTCTGTTTCATCAACATAAGATGTAAATAACTGAAATTACAGAAATAATGTACACTTACTTGATTTGCATCTATGCTATATCCCGAAAAAATACAAGTGAAATTTTCTTGACAATATTTTGATTATGTAGATTATATCTTTGTAAAACATTTTATCCTTCTTATATTAGCAGGGTTGATTGTATAATACTGATATATTTAAGAGTTTGTGTACTTCTGAGAGACAATAAAATGTATATTAATATTTAAAATATTTTTAATGAGCTTGGTGTTGTGGAAAACATAAATTTTGCTTTTAGAAAATCTTGTCATAAAATTTTCTATAAAACATGAACTATTATAGTGTTAAATAGCTGCCAATCTTTAAAAAACTAAAATCCCCAAACTTTTATGTTTGTGTATAATGTAAAACTGAGATAGAGTGGTTTATATTTCTAGTGAATAAGAGGGGAACATTTTAGGTTGCCTTCAGAATGTTTAGTTTATGAGGAACTCTTAGCAAACCAGCAAGAAATACAGTTTTGTTTTTTTC